AAATAAATAAATAAAATAAGTAAATAAAACTCTCTGTGGGAGTCTGGGATCTGAAAAGTATTGAACACCAGATAGTGTATTTTGTTTTTATTCACACAGTTGGATAATTATATGTTTCTTTACTTGACGAGGCCAGGATGAAGAAAATGTCCATTGTTGTGCAATTGGCTAATTAGGTTTCCTTTAAATATAAAGCAAGTCACACAGCAGTTAAAGGTATTTTAAAATTTTTCGCTTTTTTTCCTTTTAACATTAAGGAATAGCACATAGGTTGCAAAATTAAATAGCCTAGTCAAACGGAGTATTATAAGAGTATTTTTCTTGTTTGGCCTCTGGCAGTGCTAATAGAAATCCTTCCCATAGGGAAGACTCCATATGGAAAAGTTCCGAATTTAGAACCCTGCTTTAAACTGTATTTTTATTACTTCCAAAATCAGATCACGCTCTAAGTCTTTAGACTTTAGAAGTAGAGGTTGTATGTAGCTTGACTTCATGAAATTGATTTTTGTTTTTTGTAATTTGCAAATATTTGCATATAGGGGCTTTTTTAAAATTCAGAAGTTAAAGTTTTTCATTAAGTGTTTGAAAAGTTTAGAAAAGTAGGAGAGAGATATTACTAACCTTCCAAACCCAGCCACTGTTAATATTTTGGTATATTTACGTAGGTGTTCATGCTGTATATACCATTTTATGTTGTGGTTAAGGTTTTTTCCAAGTTATTACATAGCTTTTATGAACATAATTTTTTAAGGGCTACATAATATTCTATTGAGTGGATTGTACCGTAGCTTACCTGTTTTCCAGTTATTGGATCTTACTCTTTTTCCCGTAAAGTAGATAATGCTTTGATGAAAATCTTTGTGCAAAAACGTTTTACCTTTCTAGTTCAGAATCTTTCCTTAGAGTAAGTTTCTAAAAGTGAAGTTGCTGGAACAAAAGATAGTATTTTTAAGGCTTCTGGGGGGTTTTTTACTAGATGAATGCTGTGTGTGTGTGTGTGTATGTGTGTGTGTGTCAGTGTGAAATGTTTGTATTTGGAGAAGAGGGAAGGAAATCTCTGTTTGCTGACTCATGTTTTTATTTTGCACTTTAAACTGATAAGGCCACTTAGCTTTTGACATAAACTAAAGCAGGAAGTACAAAAAGGGGCAGAAAAAAATGAGTTGTCTTGCCAAGGCCATAGTATCATAGACTCATTTGAGTTCCTGATGGGGAGGTAGGTGGCTTGTTTGACTTGTATATAAAAAAAAAATGCCTAACTCAAATAGGCAGAAATTAGTCATCGGCCTGCATTTTGTTTCATCTACGCACATTTATACGTAAAGTTTTGTGATCTAGCCACTCGTTTTTGTGAGTGGCATCAGGACATGCATCCTCCAGCTGACTCCTACAGTGTTTAGAGTTTTTTGTTCTCTTTTTGGAGAAGGCTTCCTGTACTGAGGCTAACACATGAACTGTCTTTCTGAATCATAGAGCTAATCGCAGTAGGGCTCTGATATAAAACCTTCCACTCGTCTGCAGGGTAAGATGCATCACCGGCCCTCATAGTCTTGCACCTGCCCTTCTTAGCAGCCTTGTGTCCTCACCAGCCACCTTGAACCCCAGCATTTCTGTCTTGTGTCTGTGAGAACTAGCAATTGAAACAAGTGGTTAAAAAATTGAGGTTC